ACAAATACATCCTTACACGTCCACTTTAATAATATTAACTCCGAAACAAACACAACCTTAATTAAAATCTAGCTTGTACTAGATTCAACATTATTTAATAATTTTTTTTAAATAGAAAGATATAAGGTGACGAATAATCTCAATAATTTAAGTAGATAATAGACACATGATCTCTAAATTATATACAATAAAAAAAACTATGTTCACATACTGCATGATCAAAATAATTATAATAAATAAAATGTCAAGAAAATTACCTAAAAACTGAAAGACCTTGGAGCTTTATACAATTTCATGCACTTAACAACTTTTTCCACCTCATCCTTACTCATAAAAGTTGTATGTTGTNCTTATTTGTAGATAAAGTATACAAAATATTACTCAAGTACCCAGCCTCATCTTCTTATTTCTTTTTCTTTCTCTAGAGACAAAAACTTCTCCATCTTTCCTCAAACATTTCAAACACATGACACATGAAAATTAGGGTTCATCTTCCTAACTCCAACGAACTCCAAGTTGCAACCTCGTCTTCCTCTTCTTCATCCTCATCCGCAGTCCCTACAAATACGATCAAAAGCCACTGTTGTTACGAGCACCTTGCCAGCCTCCGAAAGTTCTATCCAGAGAAAACCTCGACTTTTGACACGTTCAGAAAGGGTTTCACGAAGATTGTCTGAGTTCCGGAAACAATATTCTGATTCTTCGAGATTTTGTTGTATTTGTCAGCCATAAGTCATTAAGATTGTTGTAAAAGCTGACAATAAAAGAATAAAGATCACGAACAAAGGATTTCCTAAGGCGTGTAGATCACTGTTCTTAAGGACTTATTCGCAATGTATTGCGCAAGCCCCCAGAATATAATAGGAACTTCTCAAAATTTTTGAGGATATAAGAACTAGCAAGGATCTCTATAAAGAGAATAAATAAACCCATAATATTTTTAAGGAAAGAAGAAAAAGGAAAGAATGAAACCAAAAGAAGAGAAAATGAAAGAAGAGTAATTTGTGATGATGTTTTCATAATGGATGAAAGGCTCTAGAAAGGAGCCATTGTACCCACAATATAAGTAAAAACCTCGTGACTAAAGGAAGAGTTCAAACTCAATCCCAAGCTTTGCAGGAAGAGAAAGAGCATTCAAAGTGGAAGAAACTGTAAGAGAAATTTGCGAAAAGCACCAACGTTCTAAAAATTATATTTTGCAATATAATATTCAAATTTTATAAATTTTTTCATCCAAGAGATTATTCACTTCAAGAAAATTGCTTATGGTAATCTTATTGAACAATTGTACTTTTGTTGTGTCTTTCAAGTTTTTATAAAATAATTGTAATTCTATTTCATACAATACTAGTATAAATATTGTTTTCAGAACATCGATTATGGTAAGAAAATGCTTGTGTTTGACGGTCTAGATTTAGACATGTTTATAATAAAGTCTTTAGACTTTTTTGTAATGACATTCCTTTAAAATTTGGTATAATTTTTCTATTTCCAATTATTATTGTCCTTTGAGTAAGTTTAGAAATTTATCCTTCAAGGTGTCTTAATCATTATTTGATATATTGCACTATGAAACTTATGAGTTTTTCTCGTAAGCCTATGACTGTAAACTTTTCTTCGTAACCTTAAAAGATTTGTAGCTATTTTACTTGAATATTTTTCCTCACACAGAAATATTGTACACAATTCGATGAAAGAAAAAAATAACCTTTATTCGTTGGATGCATGGTGAGTTTTAGAGGAGTTTCATCTGTGGTAAGAGATATAATTAATATATTTTGGAGGAAAGTGAAATTGATTATTCCTTATGTTATAAGAAGAATAACCCATTTTAGTGTATTTGAAATGTTGATGGAATCGATTTTCAAGTACTTGAGATTGGGATGAAATCAATTTCACACGTCTTAAAAAAGTTTGAAATCGATTCTAAGTTTTTTTGTGATTTTAACCATAATCAAATTTTGTTTCATTAGACAATACTGACTGAAATCTATTCTATTTCTGATTAGACTCGATTTTCAATGTTAGTGTTGGAGCTATCATACTTCTTCTTTATTAATTATATATACTTTAATCATAAGAAGTGAGTCTTGTATAATATTTTATATTTTATGATAATTGAATTTATGCATTTTAGTATATTTAATTGTAATTCCTTTATTTAGTAATTTAATTGCATTGAACGTATAAAGCATATGGTAATTATAATGTAGTTAAATTAAATTTAATAAAAAAAATCGCAACTTCATATTAATTTTAACTCATATTATATTTCGTTAGGATTATATTTAATTATTTAATTACCTGGTTTTAGAATTTAACTTAATTTAATTTATGTATAAAAAGATATAATAATCATAATTAAGTTTAAATAAAGCATAAACCATGATGCAAATTAAATAATAATATAAAAGTTATTATTTAAGAAATTTTATTCAAAACTATTCCTACAAATTTCTTTTAAAATTTTTAATATTCTTTTCTAATAAATAAAAAAATCAATTTCATTTTAATATAATTTCCACTATTTATATTTAAATTTATATCACATCTCTACACAAGAGTAAATTAGTACTTAATCATATATTTATATCAATTAGAACATTTTTTTAATCTATCACATCCATTACATCATTCATAAATTATAAAAAACTTTTGGTTTCATAGTCAATTTAGTCTCAGTTCGTTGACAAATCTCAATTTAGTCCCTATTATAAAAGTGTTTGAAACGGATCCCCATTTTAAAATTTTGGGTCAAATTAGTCCATTCCGTTAAATATAACCAAACGGAGTTAATGGGGGTGATGATGTGGTTTAATTACAGGTTGAGTTGAATATTAACAAATTTGGTGGTTGAAATTAGGGAAAAATTGAGTTAGAAAACCACCACCCTCAAACCCAAACGCTGACCCAAACAAAGATGCAAGCTCACGAAACCCAAACTCAGATCAACACGAAGAGCCAAAACCAAAACCGAAGACCTCACCTTCTCAAATCGCAAAACAGAAAAGAGAATCAGAAGCTCCAATTCAAGCCTTGAATCAATGTAGAAGAAATAGAATCTCAACCCAAGAGAGAAATCAGGAAAGAAACCCAAAATTTGAAAGCCTAAACAGTGTTTCCCCTGCAGCAACCCAGACAACCATCGTCAAGCTGATTTCTTTGGCAGAAACCCCATGGCCACTCCATCTTCAACCCCAACAAGAACAAGAATTGCAAGATCAAGATTACAAGACCAAAAACCACAGAAATCAATTTGGAACGAACCCCTACCTCATAAATGACAAAACTCAAATATCAGAACAAAACCTCCAAAATCGAAAAGGAAAATAAAACCCCAATTTCAAAACCCAAATTGCAAGAACGATTTGCAATCATAGAAATTGCAGAATCTAGAACGAAAACCCCCAAAATCCGAGAACAAATCAAAACCCTAAATGCAATTTCAGAGGAGGAGGATTGTGCCACGAATCAGAACCTACAGATTAGGGAACCAAAATCATCCACCCCAAAACGCTAGCCTCACGCGACAACAGAGAACCCAAAAATCCTCAAACGAAACCCTCGTCGCAACACGCAGATGCCCTCTCCGCGAAATGCAAAAGCTTTCGATGTGCTCTCGCTGCACCTTCGTCGTGCCTCTACCTCGCAATAGTCGCGCCTTCGCTTTGTCATCGTCGCCGTGAGGTCGTTGTCTCTGCTCAAGATGTAGCAAGATGTAGATCATCCTCGCTCCAACATTGATCGTCCGCGATGGAGAGAAAAACAGAAGTTTCAAGCTCCTGGCTTGAATGTGATGAGGAAGAAACAGAAAGGGCAGAATGAGTGATTGAGTCGAAGGAGTAATGACAGGTAAGCATTATCTGCTGCCAGGTCATCAATCTATTAACACCGTTTGTTTCTCTTTAACGGAAGGAAGGAACGACGCTGACGCAAAATTTAATAAGTAAGGACCAATTTCAAACACATGAGGGACTGAATTAACATTATTCAGCAAAACTGGAGAAAATGTGAAACAATACATTCCTCCACATCTCATCTCCATGCACAAATGTGAAACTCCTTCCCTATCACGTATCCTTGCATTCACATCGTTTCAAATTCCTCGAAAGAAACATATGACACTCACAAATACATCCTTACACGTCCACTTTAATAATATTAACTCCGAAACAAACACAACCTTAATTAAAATCTAGCTTGTACTAGATTCAACATTATTTAATAATTTTTTTTAAATAGAAAGATATAAGGTGACGAATAATCTCAATAATTTAAGTAGATAATAGACACATGATCTCTAAATTATATACAATAAAAAAAACTATGTTCACATACTGCATGATCAAAATAATTATAATAAATAAAATGTCAAGAAAATTACCTAAAAACTGAAAGACCTTGGAGCTTTATACAATTTCATGCACTTAACAACTTTTTCCACCTCATCCTTACTCATAAAAGTTGTATGTTGTTATATACCAGAGTCATCCTGAGAAAAAGTATTAGGTTCATACAAATGAGATGAATTCCTTAGATAAAACTTGAAGAAAAAATGTTACCCAAGTTAAAATAAATTTTTATTCTTATCTTAATTTTTAGTTTGAATTTAATCTCCTCAATTTAAGATTTTACATTCCCGTTTTTACTAGATCAAATTTATAATTACATTGTCAAGTTAAATTACAAGAAACAAACTACATAAAATGTCCATCATACAAACATTTATCACAGTCTAAAAATTACCATTATAAATGAACACAAATCTTTCTTGTTAGGATGTTGTTTTAGCATCCAAATATTATTATTATTATTATTTATTATTATTATTATTATTATTTTTATTCCTAAGGCAGAGTGAGGTAAACGATAAAAGGAGAAAACACCAAGAAGAAAAAAACAAAAAACGAGCCTTCATCAAACCCAAATCCAAACCCAAACCCAAACCCAAACCCAAACCAAACAGACACACATGTCAGACACATCAAACACAACTCAACACAACACAACACAAAACCTCAGCAACAGAAGCAGAGAGAGAGAGAGATAAAGTCACTGTTCACTTTCCCCATTTTCTTCTTCTTGGTTATTTGGATTCAGAGTTTTGTTCCATGAATTCCAACAAGCGAGAGGAAGAAGACGACCTATTCCTCCCACACCCTTCGGATCTGTCTCCTCCGCCGCCGCCTCTGACGGACCCTTCCTCCTCGTCCTTCTCCCTCCTCTTCCCCTCCTCGCCCTCATCCTCCCACTCCTCCCCCTCTCCTCCCTCCAAACCCCTCTTCATCTCCCCCGACCCTCACATCTCCTCTCAGTTCTACACCTTCACCCCATCCTCCCACGCCCTCATGCTCCGCTCTCTCCTCCTCCGTCGCCTTCCCTCCCCCTCCGACATCCGCGGCGCCACCCCGCGCAACGTCCTGGCCTCCTGGCGCACCGTCTGGAAGGACCGGAACGAGGACACTGCCTACCTCACTGCCTGGAAACGCATCCAAGACAAACTCACCACCCACCACGACCCCTCCACCAATTCCCACTTCCTCTGCTTCAAAACCAACCCTCACCAGTTCGTCCCCCACGTGGAGCAATGGCAGCAAATCGTCATGTCCCACCACGCCGACACCGACCTCAACCACCTCAACCTCAAGGACACCCTCGAACGCATCAAGCAGCACTGGACCGTCGGGGCCAAGTTCTACGGCATCCCGGAGAGCTTCATCCGCGTCTGCGTCGCCGCCTGCCCCGCCTGCTGTGCGGCGGAGGGCTCTGCCGAACCCTCCGCCTCTCGCGGTAAGCGCCGCCGCTTTGAGTATACTGAGAGCTTCGATGTTCCGGCTAGGGAAGTGCCCTCAAGGCTCCAGCAGCTTGCGGCTAAGCATAAGGTCGTTCTTTGCATCAGACAGAAGTATATTAGGTATAAGCCTTTCATGGCTGAGGTAAAGGACTATGCTTGCCATCGGGCTGGTGAACCTGCTGCTAAGAAATCTAAGGTTTTGAAGAGGGAGCCTTACGCTTCCAAGAGGTGTGGATGTGGGTTTAGGATTAGGGCTATTGTGCCTATTGCGAATTACAATGAGAAGGATAAGAGTTTTGTGTATCAGGAAGAAGGGGTGGCGGTTTTTAAGCTTTATGCTGTGCATTCTGGGCATGAGCCTGGGCCTTTGGATGGGAATGCCAGGATTATGCATAGGGTTGTTGGGCATAAGGGTGGTGGGTATTTGATGGATCAGGAGAATGTGTATGGGGTGAGTGAGGAGATGGATGGGGAGGGGGGGTTTGGGTTGTTGGGGAAGGAGGATGGTGGGGATTTGCAGTTTTCAGTGCTGCAACAGGTTCAGGAGTTGAGGAATGAGGTGGGGATGTTGGAGGGAAAGGTTGCAAAGATGCCGAGGGATTTGTTGGGGTCGATTTCCAGGGAATTATACGAGGTTTTGAATAAGGTTAGGAGCATAGGGGAGGTGGGGTTGAAGCCAGCCGAGTTGATCACAGATAAGGTGGATGATGTGTTGGTTGGGGATAATGATCTTGCTAACTGGAGTAACCATCATGAGAGGATTTATGGTGATGGCAAGGACACAGAGCTGATTGAGGATGATGAGGACAGTTTTGGCCGGACACTGGGGGAGGTTGTTTCATGGGGGGATCAGATGAGGACCGAGTGCAGGAGTGAGAAGGATCTCATGAGTGACAGTTGTAAGCCTGAAAAGTGGTTGAAGTGCAGTGACTTTGATGAGAAGAGCATTCTTGATTGTGAGGAGGATAGTAAACTATCCAAGCCCATCAGAATGATCAGACATGATGAGGGGATAGTTTCGGATGTAGTAGGTCTTGGCTGTATTCAGGTTGATAGTTTCTACCAGGACAATTCTAAATGGTATGATTCTCCTTGTGCTTTGGATACCGGTGCTGATTGTGGAGATAGTGGATTCCGTCATGGAGAGATTTTATAGTGTCATGAACATTCAAGTTAATCTACTCTAACTTAGAGATCAAATTCTGTTGTCCTGGCTAATGGCTATTTACCCCTTCCAACAAATAGAAGAAGAGGGATTGTACATTTATGTATACAGAAGATTGGAGCCGCTCACTTCATGCCTTTTAGGTGTATTTATTATTTATTATTATTGCTTGTGGATCTGTAAAGTGTAACCAGTATGCTTCTTGCACATAACTTCGTTATGAGTATGACTATATCAGTTAACCTTGTTCATGGCCTTCGGCTTTTCCCTGTTTAATCTTGGTCCTTATAATGCACATCAGTGTTTTGAGTGATCTGCTTTAGAACTTAGAAAGATATTTGTATGTACTTGAGGAACTACTGGTTATTTATTTTCATATTTAACTATTGTGTGTGCCTCAAATTTTCTCTGACTTGTATGCTTCGTACTCTCTGGCCATTTGCTTTATATATTTTCTCATTTCTTGTATGCAAGAGATCATTTAGCTTCTGGTTCAATTTGAAGATCATTGACTTTATGCCATAGGGGTGAGACAACCCAATACAGCATCTGTAGCTCAGCCTCGTTGTTTATTTCTTCTTGGCACATGCCGTGAATATCTCCTTAGTATTGAATTGAAGAATGAAGGTTTTTGGTGCCATAACAAATGCTTTCAGGTACACCCAGTTTCCCCCCTCTCAAGAACTTCAAAATTATGATGTTTATGGATTCTTATACCAGGGTTGTTTTTGTGACAAATGCCATGATATATGAAGCTTGAATACATGATTGGCTAATAAATTAAACAATATAAGAGGCAGATATCATTGATCACCAGAATAAAATCGAAAGTACACAACCTCCTTGGGTGGGTGCAGATATCATCTCTAGTTGGGTGAAAGGGATACCATTCTACACTTTAGATGGAACTTTGGCACAAATATGAATCCGTCCCTTGTAATTTTTATTCAACTGATATTTTTCAGACAGATCTTTGCCTTCTCTTTGTCAAGAGGCATTCAAGACATTAACCATAATTTATGCTTAATGGAGGGTGACACAATTTTCAACTGTTAATGTGTAGGAGTTGGTCTACTTGTTGAATAAATGTTTCAGAGGTTTTTTTGGTTTTGTTATATGTTGCACCATCCTGCCTGAAGATCTATTTTTAAATGTAACAACATTGTTAGATATGTTCAGTGAAGAATCTCAAAGATGTGTACCAAAATTTGATTGCAGTATTGAACCTATTCTGCATTTAAATGTTACCATTGTGTTGCGTATCTTGTTGGAAGTCCAATGCAATTGAATTTTATGAAGATGTGGATGAACATGTTTTATATCAACTAATGAGTTCTTGGGCTGCCACAAATATAATTTTTTAAGTAGTTCTTGTTCTGGTCAAAGTCTGAATGCTCCAGTTAGGGTCATAGAGAATTTGACCAGAACTGTTCTCTTTATATATACTCTTAAAATAGGATCTTTCCTTGTCAAATTAAATTTTCAGTTCTGGCTATATATTGTAAGTCTGGGGGAAACAGGCTATCAGGGTTCTTTGTACTGTGGATACAATTCCTATGATCAAAATCTTAGATTATTGTTCTGGATTAATTGGTATTTGTGCATATTAAATTTCCTGTGAGTTGTAACTGTATGCTGCTTATGGATGTTTTGTAACATACATATAGGTTAGATGAATATGTCCTTTATTTTTTGTTCCAGTTTAGTAACCTTTTTAAATGCATAAATATAATATTACATCTGTCTCTCATAAGTTCCCATTGGCTCTCTGAAGGCTACTGATCTGGAGAAATATACCAGACATGAACCAGACACTGCAAGGAGTAAGGGCCAAGAAGATCATGGTATACCCCGAAATTAGGTATGCTTCCATATATTGTTAGCAGGCTTGCCGTTTTCAGCTGAAAGTGCACCATAGAATCCATTTCTTGTTTCTCATTGTGTTTCATTCATTACTGTGCTAGATTTGGTCCATTTTGAAGTCTTGAATCTCTATGATGGTACACTCTCTTGCATACTTGTAATTTGTGTGAAATTTGATCATGTTCTTCGTTTGTGTCATAGTCATTCGTTGTTTATTTTTCTCAACCTTTATAATAGTAATTATGTTCTAATATTTCATAAGGTTTAGACAAGAATCAAAGAATTTTACTCTAATCTGATCTGACGAGTGTATGCCTAGTTGGACTTGGGAATATTCTTTAACTTTCAACTGCAGAACATAACACCATATGCTGTTTATAGTCAAGCAACACTAGACTTTTCATAGCTTCAAGGTATTAATACAATTTTTACATAGACAGAGAACAGCATTTGAAATCTCAGATAAATATGGAAGTATGTATTGCTTTTATACATGGTTTTTAACATTTATGAAATTCAATCATAATCTTCATTATTTGTAATATAATTATGCTCAAAGGTTTCATCACATTGAGTAATAATCAAAGAATTTTGATGTGATATCAGTTTTTACACTATTTTGTTGTGCTCTGGAATATTCTACAACTAACAACTGCAGGACCATAATGGCTGCGTTTTTGATGTCTAGCAACAATAGACTTCATAGTTTTGAAGTCTTATCATAAGTTAGTTATTTTACGATGACAAACAAAAAAGATTTGGAATTTTAGATTAGTATATAGAAGAATATATACCCAATGGGATAATGCTTTGTTGTTTTGTGGAAGAATATATTGTTTTCATTTATTTTATTGAGAATTATACAAGAGAATGTGTATGAGTTGATACATGTTTTATAAACCATCTAATATTTTTGAACATCTCAAAAGATGTAAAAAGCTTCAGTTCCACCACTCTTTGAAAGCTGGGAAACATGCAGATGCTGACATGCTTTGATTTGGCAAATGCTTAGTAGAAAAGAAAGGAGAAGTAAAACAGTCACAGTCATGCATCCATCCTTCTTTGTCATGAAGGTCCGTGACTTTGACATGAATGTAGGAACATCAGACCTGGGACCAAAACTCTTTGCTTTGTTTTATTGGGATTGTGAAATCGTTCATCTCTGACCCTTGGCTATTCTGTTGTTTTGCTCTGTCACCGTTCAGTGTTTTCTTGTCTTTTGTTTTTATGTGTATGCTTATTACTGAAAATTGTGAAGCTGTGAAGATGTGGATCCTAGTGTTATGAGCCTTCTTGTGACTGGTAAAGTGAGAAGCAGCCTCATCTTTGACAGAGACCCTTTTAAGAAGTTTTTCTAAAAGTAATTTCTCATTAATAATATTTCCCTCAGATCTGCCTTTACAAAGGCTTACTTACAAAGATATTCATAATTAATAGGATCATTCTTAACAACTGTCCCAATTGATAAAATAAAGAAATGAAGAAATCCTTGATTAGTGGGATGATGTGTAGTAATTATCCTAATTAATATAATCATAGGTCACAATTGTCCTAATAAAAAAAAGTAATAGATCTGAAATTAGGGATTCAGATGTGCGTGTCTTATGCAGATAGGAAAATATAAAGAAACAAAGTAACTAAACTTAAAGATAATGAGAATGATAATCCTAATAAGTGATACACATCACTTAGTTATTATTTCCATCAGTGTCGTTCGCTTATTAGTCGTGTGCAGATTATCAAATGTGACATTGGTTATTCTTATGTTGTTAACATGTGTTATAATGGTTCGAATAATGGTCGTAATGCAAAAATATCATTGATACACTATTTTAGATGATACACTTCTGTTGAAAAATAATACACATGGTACATAGAAAGGATTCTCCTAGTCATTTTGACATAGGTTATCTCTTTCATAGTGATTGACGTATTCTGAAAAAACTTAATTTCAACTGTTAAATCATGGTGATGTTTTGTCGTTGTTGTTTGGAGATTGCATCAACATGAATTTCTTTTTCTCTTCACTTTTACTTGTTGTGTACTAATTCTTTCCAAGTTTGTGATGCATTGAGTTTAATAAACAGCGGACATGATCAGAAAGTTGCATGAAACTTTTAAGTACTGTTGCTTCAGTATCATTCATGGAACAGTTCAGCAGAATGGGTGGAGATTTAAGGTTCACTTGTCACATGGGTTGTTCTTTGAATGTACTATTCATTCTTGTTTTGTTTATTGTTATTTGTTTGGTCTGTGGTTGATGTGTCTGCTTATCAGTACAGACTCGGTAAATTTCCAATAGGGTGGCTACTTATAAGTGAAAGTTTTAATTTTTACTATTTGTAATCTTGTCGTTGATGGAAAGGTTCTTACAGAATCAGCCTTGTTGATTCTTGTGAACGTAGTAGAACTTGGTGCCCATACTTTCTTCGTAAGGTAATGATTATCATCCAGGATGATAACTGCATTTCTTTATGAATGTTAACGAGTGTTTTTTGAAGCCCTTCATCAGTATATATTACTTACATGGTGATTTTTGACGCAATCTTATCACAATTTTCTATTAAAAAACATAATTTATTCAGTGTTACACTTGATTTCAAAATTCTCAAATTTATACCAATCAAACGACGAGACTATTTATCTATAACAGAACGTTCTCATGTTCAAGACATGGATGTTTCTAAGGATGTCTCTATTTCTCGAATTCTAAACGAAAAATACTGCCACGAAAACACTGCTCGACATTGTTGATAGCTTAACTTTGAACTTTTTAACATTTAGATGTTTCAGAATCTATGATTAACCAGTTAAAAGTATTATGAACTTGTACACAGTGCATGGTACTGTCTAATTTCCAACAGAAGAACTGGGAAAATTTTCTTAGCCAAAGAAAGAGATAGCCATTGGTTGTTACATGATTCTTCAAGTACAGTTATCAACAAACTGAGAAAGTAGATATGACTTCATTAGACATGATTAGCAAAAGCAAAAGACAAGAAAATGGTAAGCAAAGTTATGCTTAGGGAGAGTTAGATTGCTGGAATCTTACTCCGGGCAAGTATTTGGTGACAAATTCTCGAGCCAAAGTTTGGAGTTCCCTATCCTCCAGTTGTTGATCTGATTGGTTGAAAAGGATGCTGCTTAACTCTAATGATGCTGAATGTGGTTGAAGAGGATCATACTGCATAATAGGGACACTCTGCATTTCAGCATTTGATGCCAAATGATCTGAGGAAGGAAGAGTTTGTGGTGATGAACTTTGAGGGTGTGGAAGAGGAGCCACTGCCATTGGCATGCGCTGCATTGTGGCCAAACGGGCTTGAACATAGGTCAACTCAGCCTGCAAGTTCATAACCTGCACAATTTAAATCAACATCTAGTTAATCATTGTTGTTAAACAACTACAGTACACATCAGTTGCATTTCAATTGCAACTATTCATATATCATGTAAGGAGGTTTTGATTAAATATGATAACTTAATAATTCTGTAGCCATAGTAATAGCACAATTTGTCTGATTAAGATATCATCAACTGATCAAAA